GAAATAGTGTAATATTTTTAGACAAAGAGGGATGTTTAAGAGAGGCTGAAAACGTTTTAAGTAATTCAACAAATTTCGTGAAGCTACATCATAATCCTCCTAGTACAGAAACAGACTTAGTTACAAAAATGCATTTTGAAAATTAAGAATTCTTACGGTCTTCCTAGAGTTCACAAAGAAGGGTGCCTGATATAACCCATAGTTCCCAATATTGAACTTATAGTCATTGCTTTGGTTAGTGTTGATTCCCCAAAGACTTTGGCTAGTAATGAATATACTTTGAGGTACAGTTTTGAGTTTTCTGATGAAGTATAAAATGTTAAATTGTATATCAATGTTCATCACGTTAGCTTTAGTGTTGAGTCTTTGTACACAAACATACCTTTAGAAGAAACTATACAGTTAAGGGCTGATTTGATTCTTTATAAAATATCTGATCATTTGAGGATTGGAGCACTTCTAAATATGTTTTTATGAAATTAACAAATTTTGTAACTGAGGATCGTATTTTCTGCTTTATGACAGTCTTTATTATCAAATTAATAGAGTAGTTATGGTCTGTAGATTGGCTCACTCTTTGGCCAGTCTTTTTTTTTTATTATTAGGAAAAGCAATGTTTGAAAGACTGTTCGCAGTATTTTAAACCACTATTCTATCGTAGGCACTTTGTTTACAACAGCTAGGGTTCGACTTGTTGCAAGTCTCTTTCTGAATGATCCTGGGTATCAAGGTTGATTCACATTCGTTTTATTTTCCAATGTTATAAAGCACAAGGGACATTCCCATCTTGAGAATTGTACATCCCCACTCTGAACACGCCTTTATCATCTTGGTGTATATTTTGTGTCGGAAAACTCAGTTACATATCCTTTCCAAAGGCGATAAATTATCGATGGCATAACACTACCTACAAAAGTCTAACAACGTTTAAATGTAGTTATGATACATTCCATTCCACCACGACTATATAATGGCTGTTGTTGTCACATGCCTTACTGTTTTGCCTATTTAAAATCGTTTTAATATAACGCATCCCTCCCTCCATAGAACTTTACCCACCATACTTAAATCTCTACTCATTAAACGTCAAAAATTGGACCGACCAATAAAGGGAGGGTCATTCACACACTGTATGGAACTTTCCACAGCGATTGTTCACATACTTTGAGGTTGGACTTAAATATTTCTAGCACCTTGTCTAATTACTTAATCGAATGAATCTCTTGATGGTTAACTAATGTGAGTGCGGAAGGGATTCCAAGTGAAATATTCTTTTTTTTTAATATACATTTGCTGCCATTATTTTTTAAATATTTTATAGACTTTGGAGATTATTACCAGGATGTCTATCAAATAGTGAAAATGTGATGCCCGTAGAGCCTCCAGTGGTCGGTATTGTACACTACGGTTCAAAATGTTAGTCAATGGGGTAGGAAATTAGACTACGGGTTCTAAATTCTTATGTAAAGAAGCAATAATTTTTCCTCAAAAAATCAAGAAATGTAAGAAAATCTGTTAGACTCTATAGCATTTTACTAAATTTAAAATGTATTATTCCTCTCACTCTTCCGCATTTCAACTAGGCCTGTTCTACTTCTAGTCCTAAATTGAAGAATAATATCAGAAAGTTTATTAAAAATTAAAGCCTAATTCTTGTTTCTGAAATAAAGATTAGGTTCGTGTTCGAGACATGAAAATATTCGGAGTAAAACAACTGTACAATAAATGTACTCTTTGAAGATAAAATGTTCATGAATCCCGTTAAGACATTGTGTCGATGTTGTTTGATATCCCGAATCACCACTTTCAATATCACTATATCGTACGTGATCAGTTCCTAACATTAACCCACCATAAGTAAAAACAAAAAATGGTTTGTATTAACGTATTTTTTAAAAATTAAACATTGTTAATTAACTTGTCAATTTTTTTGTTAGCTCTAACACAAATTCTGAAATTGGCAAACCACGAGATCGTATCGATTATATTAAAAGTATCCCCAGACAGCAAGAAAACACTGTGATGAATATGGTAAAGAAGCAAGTGAACGCACAGTGAAAACCTTGAAAATATTCTGTTTATTCAAATGTGAACAGATTATTACTTACTGTAACTTCAATTATTTCCTATAATGTCATGAACTTCAAATTTACAATCATTTGCTTATATGTAAATACTTAATAACATGTGCAAGTTCAGTTCGCAGTCCATTTAAATCATATAAAAAAATGTATTGTTATTTATAGAGATTAAACTTTATGGCAAGATAAAAATTTTAATCATATACGTTAATGTTGTGGCATCCCTTCTAATAGCATATTATTTGAATATTTGTTAAAATTTGTTTTAAAAAGTAATATAATTTTAAGCTGGTTAATCACTCTAAGATTATAAAATTAAAGCTATGTCTGCATCTTTAAAAAAGAGTATTTTAACACATCAACATAATAATACACAAAACATTAAAGAATGAACAAAACATTCAACCAAAAACAACAAAAAACTACCGACTAGTTTCAACAGTCCAAGCCTGTAATTGTGAGAGGAATGAGGTAAAACTGTTTTCAGCGTTTTGTACTTTTAGATTCAAAACGGACCCAGAGGGGTCAAGCTTTACTAAAGTGTGAAAAAAAAAAAACACTTTCAAATAGGGTTTAAGTTAAAATCCCTTTCATTACTAAGCATGTCTTTTCTGCATATTTCTATTGGTTCTTTTGTATTGCATTGATAGAAATTGTATGTATTTTTTAATTATTTTATCATTTGTGCATTATTATCACAGTGTTGTATTATAACTGTTTTTTTAGGAGTTTGTACAAAGTATTTCTTTTTATAAAGTGTATGTATCTCTCTTAACACGACATTAAATTGGTATAGTACAATAAAATATTACTGACAGAAACACGTTATTTGTAATTAATTTATATTTAAGAAACATTCGTAAATTAATTATATCTTGGTGGAAAACACCAATATGAACATGCTGAAATAGTAGCCTTGCAATACAAACAATTAATTATCTTAATAGTTTTCACGCCTGATCACTAGATGGCGAAACCATATCGACAAGTGTATGTTTGTTTGTTCGCGCAAAGCTACACGAGGGCTATCTGCGCTAGCTGTCCCTAATTGAGCAGTGTAAGACAAGAGGGAAGGCAGCAAGTCTTCACCACCCACCGCCAACTCTCTTACCACCGAATAGTGGGATTGACCATCACATTATAACGCCCCCACGGATGAAAGGGGTGAGCATAGTGTGACGGGGATTCGAACCCGCGACCCACAGATTGCGAGGCGAGCGCCCTAACCACCTGGCCATGCCGGGCCCCACAGCGACAAAAAGTGAATGTATTATTACAATAATACCAGCTCTCCCTACTAAGTCTCACATGCTGTAACTCATCAGACTTGTGATGTTAGGTAATTAGGGAAGGCTTCATGGGCAGTGCACATAGCGTGCAAATGAAATGCTATTATACTCTTCTTACAGGAAACCAGCAAAAACAAACTGGATTAACGTTATTATCAGTCTTCTTGTGATGTCACACCAACTATTGATCAAAGGATGTTGGGTAAACGTTATACACCAATAAGCCATACTTTTACTCAGGTATTTCACAATTCAAAACTTCTAAAAGTTATAGATATGACAAGTAAACTTCACTCCTTACAAAGTTCACAATATAAGTCGATGTATTAGTGAGTACAGTACAACTTGTCAACAACAAGAAGCAAGACATAGACCGAAGACTAAAACTTTTATTAATAATCACAAAGAAATTCATTAAGAAAATTGTTAAATATCACTTTTATATCTTCTAAATTAATCATGCCATATGTTTTTAAATAGAATCTAAAATTCAGTTTTTAGTTTACAACAACAACAGCTAAGAATAATTATTTCCAGAAAATTCTTAATTTTACTTATATTTACTAAAATATTTAAATGTATTCTAATGATTTCTTAAATAACATCAATAGTATAATGTGATGTTAAACAACTTATACCGTGATCAATATTTAAATTGGAAAGAAAATCAGTACTTTTTACCAAGATTATTATACAGGCATTATCAATCATTCAAAGGGCACGCTTTAAACCGTCCATTAATAATGATTTAGCATTTAATCTTTACACAAAGAATAAAAAAAAGAGCATTTAACAATTCTTGGTAGCAAGTATTCCACAATACCATCTTTCCCTCTTTTATGGAAGAAAGGGTTATTATTTCTTCATCTAAACTTTCAACTGTTTGCAAGTAAGGATAAGTAACGACATGAAGGATGGACAACATTAATAAAGAATAAAAAACAACGAATGATTGCGTCTCCCACCAAATTGAAACATTTTGTAATCTGAAAAACAAATGCAAGGTAGTACATTGTATATTCTCTTTCAATGACATCTGGATATTAATGTATTCCATATTTCCACTTCTAGTTATTCTGTGACTTTTGGCCATAATTAGCAATACATAATCCATGAAAGCATTAGCTAAGACTGTTTAATAATGAGATGCACTTAACTGTTAACAATGTTATCTAAATAGCACCAGACAGCCAGAAGTGTTAATTAAAGTAGTATCAGCCTTTTTGACAGTTACTAAACTAGTTGGTCTGGTGGCCAATAGATGGCTCTAATAAGGCACCAAAATACAGAACACATTAGGTGGATTGAATATCACTGGAAGCAGTAAACATTATAATCCATACCAGCAGTAAGTTAAACTTGATATTTAGTTCAAAAATTGATATACCTTTTTCGCATTTTTATAAGTTTTGTTTAAGCAACCATAAATCCTATTTTTAAGTAGCACAATTTAACAACTTATTAGTATAAAATTTGTTTTATGTGAACCTACACAACCATTCACCTGTAGCAATACTTCTAAACCAAACACTTCACAAAACTCGTCCTTGAGTGGTTTTCGTACGTAACCCTAACAACTGTATTCTATTCTAAAACGGAGAACTGTATTGATTATTTTTCTGACTTTTATAACAATATTTAGTGATAACAGCACAAAGTTTGTTTAAAATCTTATTTCAATGTGTGATGCTTAAATCGAAAATTTTAAAGAAATGTTTCTACGAATACATTTAATGATGAAAGCATCAAGTCTGTGGCCATATACCACAACATGCATCTTTAGGACATATCAGTTTACTGATGCTGTGTCCAATTAAATTTGTTTTGTTTTTGTGATGCAACCCTATTTACCACAACATGCATCTTTAGGACATATCAGTTTACTGATGCTGTGTCCAATTAAATTTGTTTTGTTTTTGTGATGCAACCCTATTTACCACAACATGCATCTTTAGGACATATCAGTCTACTGATGCTGTGTCCAATTAAATTTGTTTTGTTTTTGTGATTTAACCCTATTTACCACAACATGCATCTTTAGGACATATCAGTTTACTGATGCTGTGTCCAATTAAATTTTTGTTTTTGTGAAGCAACCCTATTTACCACAACATGCATCTTTAAGACATATCAGTTTACTGATGCTGTGTCGAATTAAATTTGTTTTGTTCTTGCAGTGCAACCCTATTTACAAAAACTTACAAAAGAGCTAGCGACAATAAAGACAGCCCACTGGATGACAGTTTGTTATATCCAACTGTTAATAATGTTTCAAATTTCATTGACAAAATTAATAAAGTTCAAGTTTTCAAAATCAGTATTTTTAAATAGTAAAACGGCCATATGACTTCAATTCATATGGTTCAAATTGTTTCTTTTTCCTCAAGCATACACACATATAAAAGTCTTGCAGTTATTTTTATAGACAAACGTTTTCAATTGTTCCTTGTACTTTTTTCAAATCAATTAATTTAATCCACAGATTGAAAGATTAGCAATGACATTTTCTCAAGTAATCTTTCTACATAACAGTTATATCTACCAAACCAACATAATATAACAATCACAGTGAGTTTCCTGTCAACTATCTCATTAATAATGACAGTCTTCTCTGAAGTACATCATTTTGTAACTATGAAATAAGTTTATGCCAAACTATTTGAGATTTATATTAAATAAAAAAAAAAGAGAGAGAAATAAAAACTAGTTTCACCAGTGATTTAAACTTTCCTTTGTAAGATTAGTCACATCTGGTTACAGGAGGCCGAGAAAAGACAATGTTACCATTTACCAGAAGCAAGTTATGATGAAAATCTAGCTAAACATCATGTTTATGGAAGAATTCTTATTCATGTTTTCAAATGCTTGTAAAAGGCCTCATAAAATGAACAAGTTATTAAAAACTAATATATACATATTTCACTTATGAAGTATTCTTATATAGAAAACTAAATCATTATGCGAGTATAACTGTTTATTTTAATACTTAAGTACTCAGTTTAGATGGTGTATGGTTAATAACATATCCCTCAGGACTGCCATACAAATGTTTTATATTTAATCCCTTAACATTTCTATATACACCTGTTGTATTAAGATCTCTTAGAATATTATTCAAATATTGCTAAATGAAAGTCTTCATAATTTCTTTATATACATCTTTATAGTGCATATTTCAACATTTACCAACACAGTGCTGTGTTGTTTACATATGCATTTTGTTTTAGTGAATTCATCAAAACTCTCTTAAACAACAAACAGTATGTTAATTCTTTTAGCATTCCTTTATCTATCTGTTACATTAAAGAAACGTCAAGTCTATTATAATTTCCTTACATTTTAAATTCTTCATTTACTTAAACTTTAATATTAAGTCACTTTGCATTTGCTTACACATCACATTAAATTTCTCAACATCTTCCACACCTCTTATATTAAATCCCCCAACAACTCCTTACATGTTTGCTATATTACATCTTTCAGCATATCCTAAAACATTTTTATTCAAGTTGCTCAGAATTCATTACATATTTCTTGTATTAAGCCTAATAAAACATTCTTTTACTTTTCCTAGACATTAAATCCATCATAACTTTCTAACAAATCTGTAACATTAATTAGGTCAAACAACACTTGATGACACATCTTTTATAATTCTCTTAATACTTCCTTAAAAAGTATTTTATTACATTCCTCAGTACTGCTTTAAAATATGTATTTTATGTTGTACATATCTGGGTTAGTATGTCAATTCTCTTAATGCTTTAGACAATTCTCCAGTGTTTAGCTGATAAAAGATGGACATGGTGTCAAGTAAGACCCGAATCATTACAGGTAAAGAAGAATTTTTCCTGACGTGCTTCACATTCTGAGATGTCATGAACATGAAGAACTTCATTAGTTTAGGACAGACAATATATACTGACGAAGTACAGAACTTTATAAAGAAATTAAAAGAAGCTGAAAGAATAAAAAAACAAACATTATTCTCATACCAAGTGTACAACAAAAGCTAACTTTGTGGCTAGCTTTTACACAGAAAAAAGTCCATTGTGGTTATGAAAAAAGGACCTTTGCTCTCCACATAATAATAAAAAACAACAACTTTATTTCAGCCAACATTTTGCCATTGTGAATTCATCAGGGCTAATAGTGCAAAAATTTTACTACTAGCCCTGATGAAGCCCTGAAGAGTAAAGGTTTTTTTTTTTAACTTTATTTTAATAATGACTAAATCCCCCCTAGTACTCACTGCACATTCTCAAAAAACAACAACAAAATAAGTCCATTATGGCATTGTATAAATGTAAAAGTATAAGTATTATTTTTTGTATACTCTAAATACGATAAGCCTAATATTGAAGTCAAGATCCAGTAGAGACTTAAAATCTGCTATAGGCTTTATAGAATTTATAAAATGTAACAAAAGAATAGTTTCATAATTAATATACTTAGGTAAAATACACAGCTTACAGGTTACTAAGAGAGAGGTAAACAAAATAAAAACTTATTTGAATTTTGTAACAGATTTTTTACACCATAGCTTTATTTAAATCAGCATTTAAATTATTCAAATTGAATATATAAAATAAAAAGTATGGGAATATCTGATTTGCTCTCCGAGTTATGTGTAGCACATTCACACAGACATTACATATGTTGTCACACTAAACAGGTACTTAATAATCGAGACAGGTCTTTTACCATTAACGTTAAGTTTTTCATGACACTGGATTTAATATTAGTTTCACAACATTAGTTTAAAATAAGAAAACTATACAAATTATATGTAGACTTAGTTTACAGAATATTATGTTAAAAGTTGGTGGACTGTATAGTAAGCTCATTCAAGATTGAAATCACTAATTTCCATATAATCACTGAGAAAAAACATTTCTAATAAACAAAAGTGATACCTTATTTGAAGCATCATCATTCTTATTTAAAAAACTATCAATGCATGAACAAATTATCTATAGGTATGTACAGTTTATTACATTCATATATAGTTTATTTTATACACTACTTTTAATCAAATATTTCATCTTTAAAGTTAAAGCACTTTTCACTAATAATTATTACCTAGTTTAATGAAACAAGTTCTCAAGTTGGCCTAAAAACTACACATTTGTTTAGGTAACATGATAACTGGGAGACTAAAAAGAAGAAAAAAATCACTCAGGTACAAATAAAACACCTCACAAAAAAATAAATGTATGGAGAATAAAACTTTACAAGTTTTATAAATGAAAGAAAAAAGCATTACAAATAAGTTTACATTTTATCTTTTTATTCTTGGTCACCTTGTATAATTTTGTGACACAGTGAAAGTAGCTTAGCACTGGAATATTAAACCAATATAATTAATCCAACTTAGACCGAGGCACATGTAATATCATAGTTTCATAATAGGATAGTTTCATATGCCAGTTTTATATTTTACTTAAAATCATTCATTAAGTTTCACTTCAGTAAGATTTTTGATTGTGTGAAACTTTAACACTATTAATTTAACTTATACTTAACTTAGTTGTTTTAGCTTGTCTGCATTTTAGTGTGTTACAAATTTGTGGTATGTCCAGAAGTGTAGTAAGCAAGAGTAAATTAAACACTACCTCTTTGTCCAATATTATGCATCACTGTAGTATCAATGAATAAGATAACTTATTAAGAGTTAGTACAAGAGCTGGGTATTCATTGTGCTGTGTTACTATAATCAGTTTAATTTACTATTAATACATCATTGGTTAAATACTCATGCTGTTAAATGCAGATAATTGTGGTCTCCCATGGTACTACTTATCAGTTTTAAAAATAATTCATAGATTAAGGTCATTTTGGAAACTGCTACAACTACAAAAATGCTCAAATGATATACTTATAGACATGATACCACAACACAGATTGATAAAAAATTAATCAAAATTGTTGACCCCTTAAAAATTACTAATAGATGTACAGACATTTCACCCTTTTTAAAAATCTCACTGTAGTAGTTTAAAGCCACGAAATAATACTGCTTATAGTTTCAGAAACTCAAAAAAACACTGAATTTGAGTAGCCCTTTAGCTCACAAACAATCAGTCTATAACAGTGATAGAGGATCACATGGTTAACCTTCTCTAATGCCATTACTTTAATTCTGCAGTCGAGCATCTAAATCAGGTTTAGAAACAGTATTTTATAACAACACACTTTATAAGTGTAAAGACAATAATTTTTTTTATCATTTAAACTCTGTGACAGCTTAACTGTTGTAACAAATAACAGTTGAAATAAAAAAAGGAGAAACACATGTAAAGGACAAGTTGAACTGAAAAGCATAATTCAGTAGTTTCTAATACATGAGAAATCAAATGAACAATACGTTCCTGGACACATGAAGTACTTGGCTTAATAGATTTAGACTGATGATGGACGAAGTGAAAAATGATCCACAATAACAGATGATCTTTCTACTGAGGTTATTTGGTAAACTTGACCATAAATCTGTAATCAGTCAGCCTAGATCCTGTGTACCTTCTAATGTGGATTCTTTTCTTTTAAAACCATAAATGTATATTAAAAAGTAGTACTTTGATCATAGAATGGGCTACTGGAAGTGGCAGTTCCCTCTCACACGTTCAGTATAAATTTACAGTTCTGTTTGGCACAACACCTCATCAACCGCCTATATGCTTTCCTAATAACTCTAGATACATCTTCACTACTTATCCCCACTTAACCAAAAATAAACTTGATTGTACACTTATACTTACAAATTATATAGGTTAATTGTTTTTCTAAATGGAAGGCATCTTTAAATTTGAAGGGAAGAAAAAAGCTTTTATTTCAAACATAAGTCTATTCAACTTTATGCTCACCTAACTATGCCTACTAACAAACATTTAAATGCTTTTCTTTTTGACACCTAAACTAAGTCTTAGGGTTAAAGAAAATTTCCTGAGTGTGAAATATCAGCCAACCATGTGGAGGAATGATCAGCCTCTTGGGATTTTGAATTAAAGATTAAGAAAATTATATTTAAAAAGATGGGTGAATATAAGCAGTGACTTAATCTCTTCAACTGGTGTCTAATCCTTAACTTTCATCTAACTTCCAAAGAAGAAGAAAGCTTTCTCCAGCAGTTGGTCTTTTATTTGACGAGACACGAGGACTACAATACTCTGGTTGTGGAGACTTTCCTTCTGCCTTGACTTCAAGGAAACCAAAATGTAGTTCCTGGCACCTAACTAATATTCCAAGGAAAATCTGTGTCGTGCCTTTGCCCGACGTTGTGCCAACTCTGATGCTGAAACAGGTTCCAGATTAGGTAGCTTTGGAAAATGGTTAATGGCTCGGAATGTTGCAGCCATGGCTCCCTGTTGGAAACATAAACACAAGCATAACATGAAAAATAGCTGCAAAATAACACCTCATTACATAAACACAGTTTAACAGTCACTAAGTATTACCCATATCTTTTAATCTTTCTACGTTTGACAGATTTGTTGAAATACTGTCGTTACTTTGGTCAATGAACTTTAAAAGTTTCTTTACCATAAGTTAGAAATGTAATTCAATTAAAAATAAGCATTACAAATTTAGCATATAAACAATGATACAAAGAAACATCTTTCCATCAAGCTGCTACAACTCAATCAAGTTTAGGGCCAAAAGCATATACTTAAATTATTAATTTAGTTGCCTATACAAACATACAAGTATGATAATTAGATCCTATTGTGGATAGCACAACAGCTTTTCTATCAAGACCCAGGATTGAATCCCAGTCTCTACCACCATAAACACAGTCCTTCTCAGGAACTCCCTAAAGATAGTAGCTGACACATAGAAAATAAACTAATAAGTACTTAGTATCTAGTAGTAATAAAAAATAAAATATTAATGGCTAACTAGCAATTAGACTTAGGTGATCTTATGGAAAATGACCATGATAATAACAGATATTTGGTCACTAAAACCTTACTGAAAGTACTTAAACTTATTACAATTCCATCAAAAGTAGTACCCATAGTAAACCGTGTTTTTTGAAAAGTAATAAAAGCAAACTAGGTTCAGTGACTTTTTTAAATGTGGAAAAATGCTTAGTCTTAACTCTTTCAGCATGGGCTCGTCCCTGGGACCGACCTCGTAACCATTTTGTACTTGTTATAGTTTTCATGCTATAACTTTTAAATTAGTAAGCGTATGTTAACAAAATTTGGCACATCATCAGTAAACATTACAATGCTTTCATATGCAAAATATCAAATTTAAGGTTTGTAAAGCAATGTTTTTCTCATACCTTTTTCTTCTTTTCACATGTTACCTATCAAACATGCAAAGTAATTTTCATTTTAATATTAAAAATACTTTTATGCATCATAAAATGTTCAAATTTCACATGCAAAATCTTTATAATGACCAGATAGTTATCTAACATTTCTTAAGAAAAAAGCTTTATATTTTATCTGTTATTTTCAGTAACGAATCTCTATACGGGTTTGGTCAATTTGACCAACCTCCTAACCATGTTAAAAAAATTGGGAAATAAATATAAATTATGCCTTTTTTCATTCTAGAATGAACACAAATTATAACATGAAAACATAAATGTTTAGGCTAAATAGCTTAAATCTCATAACATTATACATTTATATGTATTTATTCTTTTTATTATATTGACCTTTCAGCTATGCCTGGCTAACAATACAGAAGTTACAATGATGTGGCACATGTGCTCTCATGATACCCTATCTAATAACATAAAACTGACCTTTAGTCTTTACAACAATGGAGACAACAATGACCTCAATGTATTGTGTAAAATCCTCCTGCAGTGAAATGTGAGCTGTAGAGATTATTGGTGGTGGAAAAAAAGGGCTGTATGCTGTAGGCACCAATCCTATGTAGCATTACAATACCTATGAACACTATGCTGAATATCTAAAGCAGTTTTCTCACAAACTAGCATCTCTTTTAGTTCTCTTTTTATTTTAAACAACATAAGATTGAAGATTTGAATAACATATGTGCCAATGGGTAGGATATAGCAAGGATCAACGAATACTGTCCAAAACAAACGGTACTTGCGGTAGCTTCATTTAAGGATAAGCTCACTGAGAATAATCGAAAACATGTTCTGTAACACTTTTATCAACACCTTCTACTATGTCCAAACTTTCTTGAGTAAATAACTTGAGTGAGGTAGCTCAGATGCAGAATAATTAATAATAATTCATTAAAAAAGAAAGACAAGGTACTTAATGTTTCACTGAGTTAGCTCAGCTTTATCAAGTATAATACCGAGTTAACTTCCAGTAAAAGCTCACTTGGATTTTCTTGTCTAGTTTTATTTCCTAAACAGAACTTATGCTTTTCAATGTGCCTTGCTAACATTCAGTTCTCTTATAACAGTTTTTAACATGTAATCAGAACAAATAGTAAGTCGTAATCATTTTAAATAGAGGGTTTTCTTTATAATCATCATTTACTTTGCAACTTTTAACACAAGGATAATTACCTAGATATATCTGTACATAATTAGTCAGCTTACAACCAAGCATTAGTACTCTCTATAATTAATTAAAAATGACTGTTCAGTGATAAATATAGAGCTGTATATAGATAAAACTGGAATCTACACCTTAACTAAGGAGGCATCTTGATGACAAAGTTTGCAACTTGGTAGCTGGTTCCTGTTTCTTATCCACACATGGCTCAGCACATCAGCAGCTTTGTAGCGCTGCTTAGGGTCAACATGCAACATTTTGTGAGCAAGATGCTGAAAAACATGATAATTTTATCAATTTTATTTCTAAATGTACAAAACAGAAATTAATTTGATGAAAATATGTATTTTAAAATAAAGACTACAGACAAGTACACATGAAAAATATATAGTATTATCATTTTAGAATCTATTAAAAGGTTTTTTAGCAAGGGTCAATAACCATCACTTGACCCCTTGCACTTATTCTGATCACCTAATATGATTTTGACTAAATAATAAGACTCAAATTTAACATCAAATAAAGTAAAAACTACCTTTAATAGCTAGATGATCACTTCTGTACAATAATCTACTACTTAAAATACTTTTAGTTGAAACTAAATCAACAATGTCAAGTGTAAATTGTTTTTGCCATACTTTTATTACTGGTATTATCTCAACTCACCATACAAGTTGTTCTTACCACTCACTTTTACTATTGGCATTATCTTAACTCACCATACAAGTTGTTTTTACCACTCACTTTTACAATTGCTAATAGTAAAAGTGAATGGTAAAAACAACTTGCATGGTGAGTTAAGATAATGTGAGTGATAAAAACAACTTGTATGGTGAGTTAAGATAATGCCAGTAATAAAAGTGAGTGGTAAAAACAACTTGTATGGTGAGTTAAGATAATGCCAATAGTAAAAGTGAATGGTAAAAATAACGTTTATGGTGAGTTGAGATAATGCCTTTTACTACTTGCATTATCTCAACTCACCATGCAAGTTGTTTTTACCACTCACTTTTATTACTGGCATTATCTTAACTCACCATGCAACTTGTTTTTACCACTCACTTTTACTTCTGGCATTATTTCAACTCACCAGAAAACACATTATACTTACACAACAAATCTTAGTTCCCCACCTTTACTGATATGTTAAGTTTAATTATACCTTTATGTTTTTGATATAAAAAAATTAATAATCCAATTTACAAACCATCCTACGCAACAGAAATACACAGATGTGCTTCCTAATGCGACAAATATAGATATGGCAATACTAATAAGCTAGTCCACCATGATTTGAATCATGTTACTGAGACATGGTCATGCAAAAATTGTTTTGAGGTTAACTACATTTAGTGTTTCCATGAAACTAGAAAAACAGTTATAGACTATGATTATTTATAAAGGTTGAAATGTATTTCAGTTAATGAAATAACAGGTGGTAGATATCCAGTTATGGCTTTAATAACTTAATATTGCTATACATATTTTCAATACAAGCACAATATTTAATACCAAAAATACTTGTTTGTTCTAAAATTGTCAATGTGTTTGATTTTGGCATATCAATCCTGATTTTTAGTTTAGATATACAAACCATTGAAGCAGTTGTATCATCTGGATCAGACTGGAAGAGCCTTTCTAGACCTTTATTGGATTCATAAAGTCAGCTAGTTTAGAGAAAAGTGGGAAAACTTCCACTATTGAGTCCAGTAATTACATTTCAGTTGATTTTATTTTTATAATTAAATTATTTTATGATTAAAAGAAAATCAGAGCATTAATGTTTGAAAGATTTAGTTATCAAAAATTGCCATGATAGATATTTTCATTCTTATCCATTATTGGCAAATATTTGTTGTGAGATATTCATGCCCCTAAATTTCCAACAATTCACATGTCCACTAGCCTAACTATACAGAAACCCAGAAAGCAAATTTCCACACTTATTTTTTTTCTGAGCCTGCTGTTCATTGCAGATGAAGTAATATCTCTTCAGTTTTACTACATAATAATGTAGACTTGACTTGATTTTCAATACAAGTTCCAGACTGTGCTTGAATATGAGAAACAAAACAGAACAAAGGCATTATGATTCATTAATCTTTCAACAGAAGTATGAATGAGACACAATTTGGAGTTTCAGAAAAAAAGGGGTTCTCATTCTGCACTCACTTGTCTAAAACCATCTACAAGGAGATTATTTGTTTCTGCAGAGATTTATTTGCACATACATATACAAAACTCTGAGATATGAAGATAAAATGTACTTACAATTATATTTCATTTTATGCAACTCCATACCACGTGTGACTAAACGACATGAAATAAACAGCACACTTGGGATTGAAGATCTTGAAACTGTATATTAAAAAACTAGATCCAGGTTGCATCATTAATCTCATTCTCAATGATGTTAACACTGAGGATCACAATCTGGATCAAAATGCAAGATAAGTCAAGATCAAGCTCCAAAAACAAAAAACAGCTTATTAAATAAAAACAAATAAAAATAAATATTTCATTTAACAGCAAACACTATCACTGATCTTTGCCTAAGTTTTGAAATCATCTAAAAGATTAGAATCCTATCAAGTATCAATAAACCTGTACTTTGCTCCAGGCATAAAACCCAGCAAGCTATCTAACAAACCCTGACACAACATTTTGCAGCTGGTATGAGAATTACTTCCCTTATCACCCACCTTTGCTGCTGGAGTGATGTTTACCCAGTTTCCAGAATTCAACTGAAATTTTCCCTCTCCAATTCTCTCCAGAATGTCACTGGGAGTATCATGTGGTCCATTAGCAAAGGGAGTATACCTGAAATACAATGTTTTACTTAAAAGCAGTTACTTGCCTTGCTAACATAAAATGTAACATACAAAAGCCAAGGTTTTATTTTAGGAGCACTTGGTTCTGAATTTTGGGTCCTTTCTCAATGGCTGAAAATTCCCAGATGTGATATACTTAAACATATTTCAAAGTAGCCTAAAAAAGCAAATTCAAAATTATAATAGTAGTGGACAGAATTACTACTTTGTATTTCACAATAATGACACAGTCACCAATAATTTATGTTAGCCACATCTAGTTAGATAATATTGAAAATATAAAAATCACCAACTTAAGACTGGTCACAGGGTGTAATTGAGCTGCTACCTTTGCTAGTGGAAAATTCCATCTCCACAATGACTCCACAGACACCAACAAAGCACAGTATTGCCTAAAAAGGAGGGCAGTCCAACAGAGAGACTACTGTATGGTTTCTAGTTCCATCCTTGTGCTGTTTGTAGGAAGCTTGAATGCCCAACCAGCTGTCTTGCTATCCTTAATGTAGGAACCATCTGTAGCTATGTTGGCAGGTGACTGACCACCATGTTCATTAAATAAATGTTGACAGTGTTCTTCTCTATGCCCAATCTCTGTTTTCTGTCTAGGCTGATTTATACAGATCCAAATTACATCAAATGTGTATTGCAAATTGGGAACCAGTGGTGGTTGTATAACATCTGTACACCTGTGACTGTAAAGCAACGAACCAGAAATAGACATAATACTTGTTTGTTTCCCAGGTTAGCTTCAAATTTACAGTGGGAAATAGCCAGACAGATGAATGAAGTTTACATTTTTCAATAGAAACTTACCTCCTCTCACAAAAAGTTTTCTCAACTTATACTGCCCTCTATCAGCACAAATTTTTACTCCTCACTAGCCTAGATACTCCCACTTGCCCTCATGTATGTTGGTATGAAATATCTACATACTAACATGCAAATGATCATGCAGCAACTCTTCACCAATAGGAGTATGACACTACCCATCTCGTAACTAGCGCCCTCTCTAGCCTTGCAGCTATTGACCACTTCAAGATTTGTCAGATCACACAAACCAAACCAGAAGTGGGAAGAATAAGTGGGAAATGTGAGAAGAGGTATGTATTTATTAGAAATACACTTTCAGTTTAGAAAAATGTTAACTTCCAATACAATATCTTACATCCTCTCACAAAAAGCTAGAATCCCACATTAAACAGGTGGAGGGCTGGTGAGAAGATGAACCCCTTTAGGAAACCCCCAAAGAAATACCATGGGTTGTGAGAAGGAACTATGAACAACACACCCGTGGGAGACTGCCATTTCTGAGCCAGGCATACTCTTCGCCTGTTTGTAATGTGGCACCAAAAGGGCAGAAACATAAGGAGGGACCCCAAGAAAAGTTACAGAGATAATGGAACCCCTTGGTGTAGAGTGGCTAGAGCACGACAGACCGTAAAGGGGATTTCAACCTCAACCAACACCTGGCAGCATCTGGAATTGAACATCAGGTCTGCGGTAGGAAGAAGGTCCTCTACCTTTCACCTCAAGAATAGGTACTGGCAGGGAAGAAGAGCTTCCGTACCAAGAATCCGCCTCTGCAAGCATGCACACCCAACACCAGATCCACTGGGAATCAACATCCAGCAGATGGTAGGAAGGTGGAGGGCCCAGATAGGTTTTCATCTCCAGTCCAAAGCTTGGTGGCACTGGAAATTTTCCATCCAGTCCACGGCAGGAGGAGGGTATCCAACCTTACACCTGTGGAAATTCATGTATCTCGTTCAGTTATAACCAACACCAGATCCACCAGAAACTGACATCCAGCAGACAATAGGAAGAGGGACAGCAATATGGGATGCATCTGCTGTCCAAAACCTGGTGGTTTGGGAACTTATTATCCAGTCTGCAGTCATCCAAACACACGTGCGAAGGTTGTTTTTTTTTAAAGAGTTTTGAATTTATATTAAGTTCATTATTGTTTTTATAGTGCTGATCTTGATCGCCTACTGACAATTAATGTAATTGATATAATAGTTTTGAAGCTATAGCTCTAACATATATATATATATGGCAGAATGCTTCGACCAACACCTGGTGGCATCTGGAATTGAGCAGCAGGTCCACAGTAGGAAGGACCTCACACCATCTACATTGGCAGAATTCCAATGCCATAACCTGTGCACACTCAGGAAGACAGGCCTCCATGGTCCACCAACCCAGCAGCTAGAAACTGGGAAGTGGCAAGGACTCCTATACTCCACTAGAAGAAGAAGAGAAGTAATGCATTGGAGAGTCTGGAGAACCACAGCACTAGAGACAGTGCAATGGGTGACAGTGATACCCTATTTTTAAAAGCAGAGTGATCATATTGATGGAGTGCATCATCCAACACAGCTGTACATCATATCCGTGGTAGGACAAGTGTCAAACTCCATGGATCACCAGAGATTGGCAGCAATCCCTGTCTGCTTTACTCATGTTAGTTCCTAAGTATACAGTCTGAGAGGAACATATTTATGAAGCAAAATACCATTAGCTATTCCTACGAGCAGTCCTGCAGAACACAACCGATCTCAATGGTGGGCGTAACATGAACTGGTGATGTGTTATGATACTGTATTTTGAAAACATAAGGAACACACTGACAGAGTCAATCAACCAACACTTGGCAGCATCAGGTCTGCAATAGGAAGAGCTTTAATGTCACAGTCATCTAGCACTGTACAGTAGTCCCTCTTAGATACGACCGACCTATATGCCATGATAAAAAAGTCACATCTGACAGGAAGTCATTATTCAAAGGATCAATAGCCAGATAACAAACGACTGAGTTCAAGCTGTGCCAGTTGCTATTCCCAGGGGTTAGACATAATGGTTAATATACTGCATAGGTAGTTAGATAACGTAACAAATTGGTATAATAATAATAATAGTTATGATGGATAACAATTCAATAAAGATAACTTAAAATTGTTTTGTTTTATGTAAAATAATTTATTTATGACCACATTTATTTCAAAAACATCCACATATTACATTTTTATTACATACATGTAAAATATTACAAACTGACACAAATTTATTTCATAAAAAATTGTCAATCTTTGTTTGTTTTGCACATTTAATGGAGTCACTTTGAATGTTCATGAGTCTGGCAGTTATTATTACATAATAAAAAAAAAAAATTCCACCATTGCAACTCAAAAAATCCACAGTATCCAAAACATTGTAATTTTAAACAAAGAATCAAACATAAAAATTTATATATCTAAAATGAACAAAACAGCACTACCTTAACCAAAATTTCACCTTGAAACTTGGATACTTTGATCCCAGCTCTGAAAAGGGACAATTCCACGATTTTAAAAGAACCAGTAAAGAAATAAGAATAAATATATGAACTAAATTATTGATAGACTTTAGCCAATATCTAATAAGGTAATCATCTCTAAATACAAATACTACATAAAATGTAATATGTTCATTAAAACAATTTCAAGTTTATTACTCAACCTTCTGCCTAAAAATCCTGGTTGTATGTTGCATCTGTCAGGAAGTTGTTCATGGGAGGTCTGATCAATGTAAAATTGTTCTTTGCACAGAAAAAAAGTTGTATTTAATAGGAAGTCATTATTGAGAGGGGTTGTATCCACCAGGGACTACTGTATCTGATCACAGGTCTTATAGTGCAGATTTAAAACTAAGTATACCTGGTCAGGCATCACTCGCCACATAATGGAATTCAAACAATGCAAGAAAGGCTCCTGCAAAGAATAAGAAAATGAATGGAGTACTAACCACACACATAGAAACAGGGGAGTGGAAAATGGTGACTGGAGGAAGATGAAATCCCTCAGAACAAGAAACAGCCAGTTAATGAAGATAATAAGCAGTAAAGGAATGGGGGGTGGTCTACATACTGACACCAAAGAAGTCCTCCAATGGATGAAGGAAATGAGTAGCCAGAGACAGGACTAGGTGACATATACAAAGGGAAATGCTCAGAAGAGACAAAATCAATCTGAAGAAAGGAAAAAAATAAGCCAGGCAATTCTACAGGTAAATCCTACCATAATAATAAATGGATAATAGACACAGGACTGGGAATGATTCCAAGGAATAAACTATGGGAGTTGTCACTGGAAGGAATCAGTGTGTACCCCGACATAGGAGAAAGCCCTGGCTAGGCAGAGATAAATAATCTGCCACATGACACAGGACCCCCAAAATATGACAAGCCAGAACAAGTATGTGAAGGCTGAGGCCCAACACAGGAGGAACATGGCTTACGCCAGAGGTCACTTAACCAAGTGCCCACTTGCCTGAAGATGTACAAGACAAGAGATGAGTACTCAGAAAACACTACCACCAACCATCCCTGTAGAGCCAGAAGGAAATGAAACAGAGCCCAACATAGTGCTAGGAGCTCACAGTGATGGAAAGATGAGAGGACTCAGAGAGAAACAACGTACATGAAACCTCCCAAGCACCCAGAAAATCACTCCAACCATAAAGGGGAGCACCTGGAAAAGGAGACATTGTGAACTCGGAGGAGTAACACCCAAAAAGGTGTTGACCTGATCCAGCCAACCAGGCTAAGTTGGTCTGGAAGAAAGGATGAAAAGAGCCTCCAAGGGATCCAAAAAGAGGTTCCACTGGACCAACAAACCCATGAAAGACAACACAAAAGGATATGACTAATATGGGGATGATGGCTTCCCAAGAAGCTCATGTACCCAAACGAGAGAAAACGTCATGCAAAATGGGAGAAGTCGAGGAGGACAGGCTGCAAACCCGAATTGCCCTAGCCCTAACTCAAAAAAGAGAGAAGACTGGACTAACTGAGTAGGAAACAAAATAACACCCCAAGATGAATGAGATAGTGCATGGGAATGAAGAAAAAACGTTTTCACCTATACCAACCCTAGCCTCTACACCTAGAAGAAAAGAGGGAAAAAGGCAGGATCGGCTTGTGAGGAAACCAGACATCCTTGCTAAAACTCCAGACCATCCAAGTTGTAAGGAGCCGAGAAGTGGTTGAATGGAGGAGTCCAGACTGAAAACATACAACCTCTATGAACCCAAAGAATGCAGAGGAGTACTTAATGCATCTGACACAACACCCTTGTCCTTAACAAACCAGGAGCGAAAACCCAACATAGAGCCAATTATGACCCCCATGTTGAAAGGTAGAAGGACTACTAAACGGGTCAGAACTGACTGAATGATGATAGAGCACCAGTCCCTTACTTTTGGGGGAATTCAAAAAGGACCACAACAAATACGATCACCTCAGCACACAAGGATCTGTGAGAAATTATCTCCAAACTTTGGCAAAGCAGTTGAAATCTCTATTGTACCATGTCTGATGGAGTAAAAATATGTGTGTATATTGTAGAGAAAAGTCAAATTGTGCTAATTGCCACTTCCACCATGTCGAATTGAACCCCAAACCCTACTGTTGGAAGTCCATCTATATAACATTGTCCCACCAAGGGGATATGAGTCCACCCACTACTGGGCCCAAACCCCTCCTAAAAGTCATCAAGACTGCTGGTTGCCCCCAAAACAGTGCCCCAAGGATCGATGGTGAAAAACTGCAAACATTTGAGAGGCTGAACTAACCAGGGGAGGAACAGGGACAAGGGGGTGTGAGATAGAATGAATGGCAAGTGAAGTTATGCAATGGGGCTGACCTAACCCTGGGCTCCCAAAATTAAGGAATCCTCTCCCCCCAAAAAAAAACACCCGGTACCAAACGAAAGTGCCATACTCAAAACCAAATTAAGGGGTGCAATCTCCACCAAGTGACAAGCTACATCTTACTCCACAAGCCAAAGGAGGGAAGCCAGAACGACAACATGCCAGAGCAGGGTCATCCACAGCAAGTGGAGGTTGAGGTATACATACTACATTTGGGGCCACCAATAACCCAAAGGGTTCAGGGAACACTAAAACTGACCCCACGGCTCATCACAGAGAAGGGCAGAAATAGAATAAAAAAAACAAAAAGATAATGATAAAACATATTCTACCCGATTTAGTAAATCTGCCAAAAGGAATAGAGGCCTAGACACCACCCCAGAAACAACTCAAGACTAGGAGACATAGGCAGGAGGAGGAAATAGCAGTTAAAATCCTCATTGTCATTTACAGGCAAAGTAGTACAAAGTACAAGAGAATAATCAGCAGATGCTTGAAAGTCCACAAAAATTTAGCTAACTCCCGGTGAACCAGCTGTTACACTGAGATAGAAGCCACATGGAATTGTGCATATATGACAAGTGGAGCTGACTGGAAACATAAAAAAAGAGGAATGTAACTCCAGCAAGAATTCTCAAAACTGTACAGATTCAAAAAATTATGGCTGAGAAAAAAAAAAGAAATATACAGCCAAAAACTGAAACTATAAACTTTGGCAATTAAGCAAAAAAATCAGTCTGAAAATACGAGTGAAAATATGTCTGAACTGTAAGAATGCCAATCGAGAGGTGACTAACAGCTCCAAGATTAGAGAGGGTGCTAGTTGCAATAAGGGTAGTGTTGCACTCCTATTGGTGGAGGGTTTCTGCATAGTCATTTGCTTGTTATTATGCAGATATCTCATGGTAACATATACGAAGGTAAGTGGGAGTATTAAGGCTAGTGGTGAGCAAAAATGTTTGCCGATAGAGGGCAGTATAAGTCAAAAGCGTTTTTTGTGAAAGGAGGTAAGACATCGTATTGGAAAGCAAATCAACTGAATGGAAAGACCATCAATTGGATGTATATGCCAGGCCACGCAGGAGTAAAGCTAAATAACAAAGCTGACAAGCTTGCAGAAGACCCTTCATCAAATACGCACAATTCTACTAGCATAATATAAACCTCCTCTGCACTAGTAAGGTGAAAATGACAACCATGAAATGTTTTCCTGGACATTTAGAGTGAATGAGACTGCTGAAAAACAAAGAACTGTATGGTGTCCCTTGAAAGATCGAAAATCAACAGGATGATATACAGCTAGAAAGCCACTGGTAACATTAGTAAAGGAACTAACTTCTACCTATTGCAAGACAGACAGTCTCCACATAATGGGTTGACACAACCCCCAAGATTGTCAACTCACACTCATATAAATCTTGCTTGTGTGGAGTGAGTGGTGGGAACTATCTGTCACAAGAACAAAATAAAAGGATAGCAAATGAGAATATTTGGATGAGCTTATTTTTGTGATGTATAAATAACCACTTCCAGATCTTGAGCCAACCACAGGCAGGATAAGCACAGCAGATCGAGTAACAGCCCTCAAGTATTTGTTTGTTTGTGAACACTGTTTACCATTATTCTGGATTTAATTTATTTCTGCAAGCAAACTTTAGATATTTTTTTCAAAACAGTATAAACATCAAAAATAAGGCTGCCTAGACTGCTCAAAAAAAAGGTGGGAAAAACCTTTAAATTCTGTGGGTAAATACCCAGGACCAAAATTATTAAGGTAGATGTGTTCAGTAGTTTACCCCTTTTCAATCTTAGCCATTTTGCTCTGATCCCACTCCTGTAATATATACTTTACTCCACTAACAATGAGTTTAAAAAACAAAAATAATGCAGACTTATCTTGCTAACATTACACATATATAAAAATGAGAGAGTCACTCTGTCAACAAAAAGTATATCAGAATGATACACAATGTAAAACATACAAACATGGCACAAGTGTGCACTCTAAACATGGTGGTAAATAACACAATCATAATAAAAACATATTATTAATGATAATACATACAAAATAACTCAACACTAACACAAAAATTACCCTGCTAATAGTGTAGAGAGTAAAATTATTAATATAATTTAGTTTGCTAAACTGGTGTGAAACAAAAATATTATACTGTCAACTTAAGTACATGACAAAGGCTTGCTTACTCGGTCAAAAAAAGTGTAAACAACAAAAACATGATACTTACTTTGCTGACATGTTTATAACAAACAAACATGATTCAGCTTACACTTTATTAATTGGATAATCAGCTGTATCAGCAAAGTAAGTATCATATCTGTGTTGACACTGTTTATAACAAACAAGGTGTAAACAATACAGGTATGATACTTACTTTGCTCATATTGTTTACAACAAGGTGTAAACAATACAGGTATGATACTTTGCTCATATTGTTTACAACATACAAACATGATACAGCTTACCTTATTAAAACAGTGTAAACACAGATACAATACTTACTTTGCTAACATTGTTTACAACATACGAACACAATATAAGTTTATTGTGATAATACAGTAAACTTACCCTGCTAACATGGTGTATAAAAGCACTCCCATGCTCCAGATGTCACAAGCTTCATCATAACCTTGTTTTTTCAGAACTTCAGGTGCCACAAAGTTAGCTGTGTAACACGGTGTCATGAGAAGACCATTCTCTGCTCGTATCTGCTTTGCAAAACCAAAGTCACAGATTCGAAGAGACTCGGGGTTACCTGTTTCATCGGCATACATAATATTGGATGGCTTTAGGTCCCGATGAACAACCTAGAAAATAAAATGTAATTTGTAGTCTTGCTTTCCACAACAAAAATTAAACAGATAAAAAAATAGTGACTTGGTCACAAGGAAACAATCACTATCAGGTCTACAGTTCAGCACACTAATCACAGGGCCATACTTGGCCTAACACATACACACAACACAAAAGTTCATTTGCAAAAGGGAAAACCAAACTCTGGGTCTCTCAAAAGTCTTTATTTATTCATGCTTTTAGTTTGTACCCCAAGTTTAGCAAATCCTGTATTAGCAACAACAGAAAGATTGACAAAAAGGAAATCATAAATTGAAAGAGCTGAGCATATGCAATAACAACCCATACATGTGAAAAATAAATGGTCTTTTGTATAAGCCATGTTCTACTTAGTTTTCAAGTAAATTAATATTTCACCAAAAACAAAGCCTATTACTTAATGTTTTACATGAACATTAGGTCAAAGTAAATACAAAACTTTTACCATCTGTTTTATGTACAAATAACAATGAAACATCTACCTGTTCTTGTTCTATATTGTGCAGTAAAAAAATAAAACATCTGCTAGTGTATACTTTAAATGTAAGTCACACGAAATTTAAAACTACCAGCTAATGGATGTTTTAGCATGCATAAAAAAAATAAAACCTTGAGTTAGCTGATACTTAGAATATAAAAAATGTTACCAGTTATTTATTTATATTATTTGCAATCAAAAATAAAACATTTTCATACAATAACAAGTATTTCAGAAATCATCTGCAAATTGATATTTTCCATCATGTACAATAAAAAATGAAACTGTTACCCATTAATATTTTAAATCTTGTAAAAGTAAATACATTCAACATACTGAATTACCATGAAAGTACTAAACAACTTACTCCATTATTGTGAAGGTACTTAACAATTTACTCCATTAATGTGAAAGTACTTAACAACTTACTCTATTATTGTGAAGGTACTTAACAACTTACTCTATTATCGTGAAGGTACTTAACAACTTATTCCATTATTGTTAAGGTACTTAACATATTCACTCCATTAATGTGAAGGTACTTAACAACTTACTCTATTATCGTGAAGGTACTTAATAACTTACTCCATTAATGTGAAGGTACTTAACAACTTACTCTATTATCGTGAAGGTACTTAATAACTTACTCCATTATCATGAAGGTACTTAACAACTTACTCTATTATCGTAAAGGTACTTAACAACATACTCTATTATCGTGAAGGTACTTAACAATTTACTCCATTAACATGAAGGTACTTAATAACTTTCTCCATTAATGTGGAAATACTTAATAACTTACTCCATTAATGTGAAGGTACTTAACAACTTACTCCATTATTGTGAAGGTACTTAACAACTTACTCTATTATCGTAAAGGTACTTAACAACTTACTCTATTAACATGAAGGTACTTAATAACTTTCTCCATTAATGTGGAGGTACTTAATAACTTACTCCATTAACATGAGGGTACTTAACAATTTACTGAATTATCATGAAAGTACTTAACAATATTACCATGAAGGTACTCAACAACTTATTCCATTATCATAAAGGTCTTTAACAACTTACACCATTATCATGAAGGTACTTGACAGTTTTTGCAAGAACTTCCAACACATAACTTGCTTCTCGCTCACCAAAAGATCTGTGACTGAGAATTTTGTCCAACAATTCCCCTCCTCTTAAAAGTTCCATCACCAGGTAAACAGATGTTTCATCTTCATATACCTAACAACATGAAGTTAATATTCTAATTTTATAAAATTCCTTTTTATTCAGTGTTAGATTTAGTAATATCATCATACTCATCTCTATATCTATAATAAAGTTTTATAAGGTGGCATTTCAAATATCAATTATATTTCATTCAAGAAATAAGTTTATAAACTGCAGGTGTATTATCTGTGTTACCCAGCAATCTTTCAGTTGCAAAGTTAGCTACCTATCTCCCCTCCTAAGCTTGTCAGCTCAGAGATAGAACTTATCTTAGCGACGAGGTGGTCTGCATTCATTTCTAACATTTTGTAATGACACATGCTCAGGTAAGACTTCCCTATAGCTCAGTACCATGCTTTTATTACTTTATTTTTGTTTTAGGTACTACACTCTCCCTTTCTATTATTAAATATGTTAATTTTTCTTTTAATCTGTTTATTTTTAATCTATTATTCTTTTTTATAAACTTTAATCCTTACATTAGTGTTTTGTTCCACATGTTTAACTGATGACCCATTCTTTGTGTTTTTAACCAACATAAGAAAAATTTTAAGTAAACAAGCAAACAAAAAAACTGTTGAGCTTACATCATAAAGTGTGACAATATTTGGGTGCTGACTATAGCGTAACAGAATTTCCACTTCTTCTTGACAATCTCGCTTAGACTTGTTGATGACCTAGAAAAGGATACAAGAGGAAGACTTATGCAAAGCAAAAATTCTAAAGAAAACAATGGAAAATACTGAAAGTAAAACTCTCACTAGTGACAATAATTATCCCACAAACTGTTTATTGACCATGTAGCAGTGCTTTCCAAAGTTGGTGTCACATCATGCCCTGAGGGATGTCACCATGTTCTTGGAAATTGCACAAAATGTTTTGTTAAGTTTTATTTTTACTTATAGCTGTTATAAGATTCAGTATTATAAAGTATTTTTAAATTTGCTCGCTGATGTGCATGCAAAAAAGTATCTAATGTTTTATATTTCTTTTTCGCCACGCAAAAAATGTTTGCCAACACAGCCTTGTGTAGTGGCAGGTAAAGTGTGGAGCCTCGAGGTGCTAGTTTATACTCGTCTCTATGGTGTCAAATTATTTTTGGTACGCATGTAGTGTGTTGCCGTCAAAAAAGTCTGGAACGCACTGCCAATTAGTATTATTTTTTACAGTTTTGTAATAACTGTTGATGATGTGTAGTAGTTCTATGAGAAAAATACAATTTATCTGTATCCAAATGTTTATGTGAACTGTAAACATTAAATCTATAAAAACATAGTCTGCTAGTAAAAACATGTTGATTTGGTTATTTCATCAAAGACTAAATTTAAGTTTGTCAATGACTGGAAATTTCTCATTTCATACAGTATTAATAACAAGCTATTTGTAATCAATAGTTGTGTTGTGATAACACCAGGAAACAGAAGGATGCTCTACTTGCTTGATCATTAATTTGACAAAGTGGCAAATCTCAGTATATAACACAAGGCTTCATATTCTGTACTTGTGTTTACTACACAATGGGCTACCTAAGCTGTGCCCATCAAGTGTAACGAAACACAATTTTTAGCATCATAAGCTCATAAGGTTACCACTGACCTACCAGAGTGGAGTTTAGGGTGGGGTGATATTGAATACAAACTGTAACAAATAAAACTATAAATTTAACTTCCCCAACCAACACAGTTGAAATACTTAATGCTTGAAAAACTTAAGAGTATTAATTATCATGTTATAATTGAAAATATGTAATAACAGAGTGATCTTTTTTTATTCAACATTTCTTTTTCCAAAATAAGTAACATGGTGATTATCAATGAACTACTAGTATGAAACAATTTACATAAGAGTAGCATTTTAAACACAATTTGCTCAATGACAAAAGAATGAACTGTTTCCTAAAATTTAAACCTTATTAAATCATCCTGGCTGTAATGATTTTATGAATTATACAAGTTAAGGTTTCCTCTATCCTTTTTTAATCCCACTGCCTTCAACCCTTTCTTTGTAACCAAATAAAAATGGCCAAAAACTCAATTACATTAAAATCTTCTGTGAAATTCAACTTTAACCATAAAGTGGGTGAATATGAAGTATGATTTTTTTCCACTGAAATGTTTATGTGCATCACTGCTGTATAGTCCACAAAACAAAAATATTTCAATAGTACATAATATAAGTAATATGTATCATGTATTAATACCACCAATAAAAAAAGAACAAAAACTAGTTTATCTAATAGTTAACTTACTTTTACTGCAAAACTTTTTCCCGATTCTCTGTGAACACAACGTCTTGTAACAGCATAAGATCCAACTCCTACTTCTTCTTTGAGTTCATACTCCTTGGTGATCGATCCTTTGTAACTGGAAGAGCTAGATGCTAGCTGCAGTTTGCATGAAAACAGGTTTAAACATCAATAATAAAACAAAATATTTAATAGAACTGAATATTCTAAATCACAGTTAAATATACAGAATATGAACAATATAAAGCTGAATAACTGATGATAAGTAATTCAATATACCTTTAATAATTACTTCCACAAACATCTGTAACATGTATGAAACAAGATAAGAGAAAACATTGCTTAAAAAATTTAAGCTATATAGATGTACATAGTGAATTTCCAATTTATTATTTAGTATTGAATACACAATGGCTCAAGAAACTTAGAAGATTAGAGGTACTGTTATTCTAAAATATATCTATTAGGCTTAGTTGTTTGAAATTATATATATATATACAAACACACAAACATACAAGGATCCAAAAATACAGTCTCCAGATCACCAATGGGAACCAAAAAAAAATGTATGGGGAGTATAAATACAATATTCATGCATAAATAAGCCGTACACAATTTTGAACAAACACCTTTTAGTGTTATGCCCTTTATTGCCAGCGATGTGAAGTGATTGGCTTGTATGAGCAAGATGTAACGAAATTAAACACAAACCAATGCAACAAAAAACGTGTTATTCTCTATAGCATCACACAGCTGATTGTTAAATTATTTTGTCTTGGAGGTCAAATGCCAATGCATTTTTGCTGCTGCATAGCATTGTAGCAAACACACATAATCTTGTCTCAACCTAAGCTAGATAGTAGAAAATTTAAGTGGATACTATCTTTTTGGAGTCCTGTATATATACATACATACAATTTAGGGTCATTTTCTTAACCCTATGACCACCAGCTACTATTTTTTTTAGTGGGTAATGTCACTTTCCTCATATTTTATTCAAAAAGCAAAACTAGTGGATGAAGTTGTTTAAAATTTGACAAGAATGTTCCTAAAAGCATGTAGTTTCAGAAAAATAAAACATTTAATTTTGATTTTTTCTACTATCTCTAATAAAAAAAGTTGTTATGTAATGTAGTTATTTGTACTCACACTTTGAATAGTTCACCTGCAAGGTGATTTTTATATGAACTATAAAAATACTATTTTTTATTTTACAGTTTTCACATTTCATTTGTATAATCTCCAGAACCTTATAAATGAATATCAAGTGTCTTAAGGTAAATATTTATATTTTATTTTCCACTTTCTCTACTATATCACTAACTCTATTTATTATCATCAACATACAGTGCAATGAAATGTTTAATATTAACAAATGGAAATATGTACATACCTTTCAACTCTTCATAGAAATCCACTAGAATAGTTGTGTTTTCCTCATATGCATAATTTCACATCTTTATCTTTTCATTTAGAGTTTATTTTATTTTCCTTTCAAATTCTTTGTCTACTATCTTTTATGCCCATACATTAACTGATGCCTGCAGGGCTTTACAAAGGTATTTCAGCAGACTCCCCACAGAGATGTGTTGCCGAAAAAAGATGGTGCTTATACACATCATCTTGTTTATAACCTTTTAAATTCCAGTGACAAGATAAACTTATAAAAATCATTAAACTATTCAAATACGATTTTTAAAGCACATTTAATACATATTAACTAAAATATAAAAGTAAGACCTAAATACAATTTAACTGTCTCTCTAACTACAGCGTATTTAGGTAAGAAACCATCATACACGCTATAGTCGATCAAGCAGACAACAATATGAGCAGCAGTTACATCTTCACAGTAAGGAAAACTGCAAGCCAATTTTATATTAACTATTGGTAGAGTACAGTGTAAACTGAGCTCTTTCTAACGACTATATAAACTTGTGTATAGAAGGTGGGCATGATGGCAACAGTCAAGGGTTGAAAAATTTATTTCTCTTTACCAGTGAATACAGTTCTAGGACTTTAGATCTGACAAGTCAATTAGGTCAAACACACGTAGTTAGCATGTAGAAGAAACTCCTGTATGTTGCCATCTCATGTAGCTGCTAAAGTTGATATTTTTCAAAGGGTGTAGATCACTTCACATGAAAACTGCAGTTTAAATATTTTTTGAAAGATAACATAAAAATTCAAATTAAAACATACCTTAAGATGTTACTTTCATTGACAGATATTGATAATAAAGTAGTTTAATTAAATTTTGAATGTAACACAGTACTATGCACAGAAAAGAATCTAAAAATGATGCCAGTAGTCATAGGGTTAAAGTAATCATTTAAAGACTTTATGTAAAAATAAGAGTATAATAATAAAATGAGCTTTCTTTCAATGAAAATAACATAATATTAAAAATTTACTTTACAATAACATAATTATCTGGCAATTAAGACTAATCAATATATATTTAAGTAACATATACTTGACTCACTATAAGAGTACATCAGTAACAAATCAATAAATAATACTTACTTTACTAAGAGCTTCAGTTTCAGCTTGCTGTTGATGTTCTTCTTCTACTAAACTTGGAGCAACAAAACTAAAACCTCTGAACAACTCATGAGCATTTGCACTAGGTGGAATACCAGGAGAGTCTAAAAAAACAAGATAAAAATAGAAGGTTTTTAAAGCATCTAACTTTGTCCTTAAATTCTACTCTAAGTTTTGTTTAAACTGTATAGAACATTACTAATATTACAATTCCAAAAAGAAAGTGAAGCATATATCAAATAACACAGTGTTAAATATTGAAATTAAATTTAACTGACCATAGAAATATTTTAATATTAGTCCACAGGTCTTTATTAAAAATGTATCAATTCAAAAAGAAGTCATCCTTTACCAAGAAAATATATGAAGTTATTGTTTATAAGGTTATAAGCAAATTCAAAATTTTAAGTATTGTAGCATCAAACAAAAAATTTTTTAAAGAATGAGAATTTCACACCTTCTGGTGTTCTAGTGGTGAATTCTTTATCAAAGTAGCAAGTATGGTCTGATCTGCCAACTGCTGGAATGAAAGGAGGCTTAACATCTTTACTGTACAATTTCTGCCAGTCTATAGTTGCAAAAAATGGATGACCTTGAATTTCTTTAACAGTGCTTGGTCCTGATCCTATGAGGAGAAAAATTTAAACAGGTTTCAGTACAGAGACCAAAACTTCATCAAAAGAAAACATGTCAGGTAGTTTCCTTATTTATAAGAATTCTAAGATGCCCAAAAAAACTAGCTAAACTTATACTAAAAGATTTTAAAACGTTCAAATAAAATATGAACTATTCTCTTTGTTCTACATCTTATTACTGGTGTTCTCATCTCATAAAAATCCCACACAAAATTTTCAAACTGGAGGCAAAATAGACAATACTCTGTACAGAAAACAATGTCATTTGATAGATTAAAACTCTGACTTTCTATTAGTTAGAAATAATATAGTATAGAACATCAGAGAGATCTACTGGCAATTTGTGAAAGAGAGGATGTGACAGGTGAGCGTGGGAAGTGGTTCTGATTTTCTAGTTTATGGTTCCTTAAACATATAAGATTGAAGGCTATAAAAATTATGCTTTGCCTTAGTAATATCTGTATCATAATGGGTAATTTACATAAAATTCCATACTTCTCAGAGAGCTGGAAAATAAATTAGAGAAGAAGGTAGACATAGAGAACAAATGTCAATATTCTCATACTTAAAACTTATATAATATTAAGATTTTATTCATTAAGTATGTTTTGATGCTAAGTATATTCATATACAATGATGATAAGGTAACTTAATTAAATTTTGAATGTAATTCACTAAAACGTTGTGACAAGCACACTCTAACCTACCTATAGTGAGAGGGTTAACAGAAAGCTCACAAAGGTTTAACAGTACTACAACTCACTAAAGTATAACAGGAGTACAGCTCACAAAAGTTCAGCATTAATACATTTCACTAAGGTGAACAGAACAACAGCTCACCATGATACAATAAAGCTACAGCTCACCAAGATTCAGCAGTACTACAACTCACAAGGTACAAAAGACTACTAGAATGAATCAAAGTTCAATAGTGTTACAAAAAATAAGGTACGAAAAGACTACAGTTCACTAAAGTTCAAAGAGCTACAACCCACCAAATTTTAACACTGCTACTTACTGCTAAAGTCTCCGAAGTTTATAATAACACTGCTACAACTCTTAAAGGCTGACATCTTATCAATGTCATTTGTTACTATAATAATGCTAAAACACACTACCATTACCCAACAGTAAAACTAGCAGAGGTTTTAACAGTACTGCAGTGTCTTTTTCAGTAACAGTTCACTTTAAGTCTATTTATGATGCACAGATACATAAGCCATGTTTTTATTATACATCTAAAGCACTGGTTCAAAAAAAAAGGAGAAAGAAGCATAAATGAATAGTTCACAGATAATTACTTTATAACAGTATTTACATCAGAACTAAATACATTTTTCTACTAAATGTAATTAGGTGTAATAACCAAAATAATACTTACCTAATCTATTTGCTGGATTTCTTTTGAAAAGGGCTCGAAGAAGACTTTGTGCTTCAGGACTAAGGAACTGTGGCATTCCTAATTTTGCTCTAGAATTACAAAAAGAATGTTGTTAAGTTCTTGTAACCATGGCTTAGCAGATGGAGAGGCAGCTACCCTAGGGTCCAGGCTGACAAAAAATAATAATTTTGAAACACAGAAAAACTAAAATGGGAAAAGACCCTAAATTGGTATTTGAAGTTTTAAATATTTAACTTGGGATTATTCCAAAACATAGAAAAAGATTTAATAAAGAAGGGATGGATATGGAATCTAGTTACAACACTGGTTGTAACATCAAAGTGTTACTCATGAATTACATAAAATAAAGTGTATGACAAATTATCCATTTTTTCCAAATGCGTCAAATGTCATTTGTATGCCAATGGTAGCCTCCCAGTAAAAAAATAATGATTAAGTATCAAAAAAATATATTTTCATTCAGAGTTAGTAAGGTTAAGTAATAAAATCTATCTATATTTCTATGCTTTCATCCATCTAACTTAAAAACTTAAGACAGACAAAGGTTATAATCTAGTGACTTGTAGTTGTCCCAACTGATTGAATGTGCCATTCCCAAAGCATGTTCAGATAATGGAAGTCACCCGAAATGTTATCACTCACTGTATTTCTTTCATTCACTCAGGTCCTGCATACGAGATATTAGTTTAACACAGGCTGTTTACCACTGAATCTAACCTTTACTTTCCATTAACTCACAACTTGAGACATAAATGTTTTAAGATGGCTTTTATGTCAAGTTGCTGAACAACAAAAGTATAATCTAATATTGTTGTTAGTCTATGTACTGGAAGTATCAAATGAAATGTATAAACTACAAAATTGAAAACAAATATTTGTTGATTTCTTAATTTAAAGTCTCTGTTGATTAAATTCAGAAATGATTCAAGTATAAAACTGGATCGATAATTTTTTATATATACTTGAATACAAAAATCATTGTTTGCGACTAAAAACAATTTTATAATATACTAGCAAAAATACTTGGGTTATTAGGTTGATATATTCTAGATGACTATGTCAGTATGTGTATTCTGAACCAATTTTAGCAGAGAAGAACAGTCAAAAATATTTTAAACATATTTTTATTTCCCAGAAACATAAAAAAGGTACAATAATAATAAAATTATTATAGATAAGTATAGATGCCACTACATATCATGTTATCTAACCTATATAAAAACCAGTGTGGGTCACGTTACGTCACACTTGATTTCTTAAAATAAGAGGAGTCATAAAAGCCAAAATTCAACTATCCAGATAGAATGGTTCATTTAATGTCTGCCCATTACAATTTTTGTGATGGGGGTGGAAGGGGCCATGAAACCTTGTAAGTGTAGTGAATGTTGGTATGATCTAAAGATATTAATATAAAAGTCTAAAGTAAATGCATAGTGTGAGATAACCTAACCAAGTGCATGTAACATTCTTTTTTTTATCCTTTATCTTACTGATTTTAAACATCAATTTTCTATTTGTCATTTTTAAGTGTCAACTACCTAAATTTTCTGCTATTAACCTGTAAGTAACTATATAGAGAAAAAAACTTTCAATTATAACATAAGCAACAACTTACGTGCTGAACACATTTAGATAACTTGCAGCCTCTGCTTATGAATGAGCAAATGAGCAAGCTCTATTTTACAGAGAGACTTACCTCTCAAAATTTTCCTGGCTTTAAACTATGTGACAAAAGCCATTACAAATTCATCGAAGCTAGATGTTAACTTTCCCACAGGAACGAATCTTGTACTGTGAGTGAAATTGACAATATTCTGTTCAGAATACAACATTATACAATACATCATTTGATAGATGAAAACCTTGACTTTCTATTGGTTATGGGTAATATATAATGAAACGTAAGAGAGAACTATCAACAAATTGTGAAAGAGAGGATGTGACAGGTGGGAGTGGCAGGAGGGGCCTGATTTTCTATTTGATAGCTCTGTATCCAAACAAAATTGAATGCTATAAAAATTATGATTTGTTTGAGCAATAACGATTTTATAGAGTATTTTACGTTTAATTTCGTACATTTTCGTGAGGTGATGGAGAAAATAGAGA